ACGGTGATCTCAGCCTTTTTTTCTTATCAGGATTCTCTATAGGTCAATCTGCCAGCTCGAAAACTGCCTTCATCAGTCTCCACCAACACTCTGCTTGTCCCCATCAGGAATAAAAATGCGGTTCATGTGCTTCCACGTTCCTCCGACAGCACCAAGAATCTTCCATACCTATTCCATCCCAAAGCAATCCATAGTCTGTGGTTTCTTCCTCTTTTGTTCTTTCTCCAGTAAGATTCCCCCTTTCTTCAGTAGAAATCTTCAAGCGCTTCCACCAGCCAGCCCACATCTTCCTCCTCCAGTGAAATAGTAGCCCTAAAACCTCTCCCATTTTCACATTTTCTCATCCCTTTCCAGTTCTTACCTTTGCATATTACATCAAAAGACTTTTTTCAATCACAAAAAATCTTCTCTGATTCATCATTTTCTGGGCCTTACCATAAAAGCCATAACTGATGCATGAATGAAACCTGCAGGATGATGTAAAATAAAAATTTATTTTTCTCTTTGGATAATATGCTTATGATTTAATTGTGTATTGTAGCTCTCCTTGGGCAGCAACAGGAGGCATGGATAATAAGCTTATTATATGGGATCTCCAGCACTCAATGCCTCGTTTTACATGTGATCATGAGGTATTAGGAGATTTCTTCTGCATAATACAAAGATTACTCATTTTTCTTGTACTTTAAATCAACAATTTGTTCATACATTTGAAATCACCAAAATCTAACAAAAACCTACCCTACCAAGTAAGTCTCTTTGGAACCTAAAACCATGTGTTTCTACTTTATGTTTAGCTAGTAATTGAGGTAGGCAAAGATTTTTTATCACTGACGTAAATGAGGTTCATTTTTTTCGACAGGAAGGGGTTACATGCTTGGCTTGGCTGGATGCATCTAGGTGCCTAGCTACAGGTTGTGTGGACGGGAAAGTACGGTTATGGGATTCTCTTTCTGGTAATTGTGTGAGAACCTTTACTGGGCATTCCGATGCAATTCAGTCTCTCTCTTTCTCTGCTAATTGGGATTTCCTTGTTTCGGGATCAATCGATGGAACTGCCCGAGTATTTGAGGTGGCTGAGTTTCACTAGGTAAAATATGCCTCCATAAGTTCTATGAATCTTCAAAAGAGCACAAAACTTATTTTCATGTAACATAGTGTTATCAGGTACTGACAGTATTCAACTGGTTATGATGCATTTGCAGCATAACATATACATTTTTTCCTTTTCGTAAGTTACATTATTTCTTCCAATATTTTTTATTTTTATACTAATACGGTTCAAGATAGCAACTGTGATTTTATATGAAACTATTATATAATTGTTTACTGGCCTTCATACCTGCTCTTTATTCCTTAAAAGTTATTTTAATTTTTTTAGGATCCATGTTCTTTGTAGTCTATTTGTCTCACCTGTATGAACTTTCACTTGATGTGGTTTCCTTGTCCCTTCCCACAATCTTTGTTGTCTTACCTACACGCTCTTAACTTTACAAAATGTGAATTTCATAGTCTTTGTTGTCTTACTTACCTCCTCTTAACTTTACAAAATGTGAATTTCATAGTCTTTGTTGTCTTACTTACCCCCTCTTAACTTTCATTAAAAAGTGAATTTCATTTTCTAGGAGCTATATACATTCCATAATCTTTAATTTTCTCTTTGCTTAATCTCTGTTTAAACTGGTGCTGTCTAGTGCATATTTCAACTCCAATGTTTGTGAAGCTTCTGAAGTTCAAAGGGTGTTTAACTTGATATGATTCAACTCTTGAGGGAATCATACAGAATGTTTGAATGATTTTTTTTTTTTCAAAGGGCTTATGTATTAGCTTTTAAGTTGCTTCCATGACCTTTTTATGATAGAATTTCTCTGGCCTTGCTGTTCTCTAATTTAAGAGACCTCTTC